TCTGGCTACCAAATCCCCTTTGCAATTTTCCTTATTCATATTACTTTCTTGATTCCCGCTTGAGTGTCGTACGTAGCTTTCCTAAAAGCCTACGAGCGTTCTATTTTGGACCAACATTGGTGCTTTCATTGAGAGCTGTTATTGTCTCTCAGATCACTTTAGTAGGAATCACAAAGAATGCCAGAAAGATTGTTCTCGAAATCTCAAAAAAGATGAACAAAACATAAGAATCTGGAATTTCAATTGAACGAAAGTTGTGCTCACCATCCAGGACGACAATGCACCGAATGCTGCACCTGATTTCACCACTAACACTGGAGAGTCATTGTTGAGATCACGCCAGCACTGCTCTGGATCCCTGGTCCAATTCCCATTCTCCTAGCGCCTAACAAAGCTTTCAGTCCAAAAAAATTTAGCACATCTGAAGGTGATGTCGTAGAGGTCAACCAATCTAATGCTCTTGTCTCAAAAATTTTGAGCGAACTCGACCCCAAGATAAGTGCTAAAAATCTCTCCTACGGTTATTTAGCAAAAAGATTTTAATAAAAAAAATCATAGATTGAAACATTTGAAAAGATATTTTAAGTGATATGATTGCGTTTACTCTTGTTAAGTGTGTGTAATTTTAACATTGAATAACGGACTAATGAAATCTTATCACTCAAGTATGCTGGACGAGCACACACACTCGTACACTGGCCGAGCACACACACTCGCGCCACCGGGTCACGTCATACGGGTGTGACGATTAATAAGCTCCAATATAAATGTTAATACCGCACACTCTTGACTTCAAACGAGTTCTTGCGTGCTCTTACCTCTTCATAGTGCATCACATTCCAACCTCGGGGGACGACTCACCCATTCAAAAGTCTTTACTTGCGGGTTCGAACTACTAACCTCGGGCGGCGAGTTAAATTCTTGTTAGGGGTCTAGGGCCACGCTGTTCCGAGCAATTTTGTCACTTAATTGACATTCACATTTCTCGAAAAGGTTGATATACTTTAGTTCTTTGGGGTTGGATTATCTGTTCGAGTGAGGAGTCCGCCTCACTTACTCATGGATTCAATCTTTCTTTCGGAGACTGGGTTGAGGTCTAACTTGGGAACTTGATGTCACTCTTTTCAAGTAGTGAGACCGACTCACTTACACACTGAGTCGTGGTTCGACACCAGGCCAGATGATCTATATATTCTACACTAATTTCTTTTATGTGTAGGTACAACTGAATGAAGTGGAGGACTGATGGTCTTACCGTCTTCAAGGAAGCAAATGACAAACCTGACGAGTCTGAGCCCGACGAGAAAAACAGTTCTATCCATCCTATTCGCAAATGGCGACCATTGCAATAAAGGATGAGGATCTCACCTCTTGCTTCAACTTGGTGGTGTCAGATGTACTCTTTTTCCCTTCATTAAGATTTTTTCCCATTGAGTTTTTTCCTAATGAAGGTTTTTAATGAGACATCTCCCCAACACGGACAAGGGCGGGGATCTTCTAGTCTCGGAGAAGAACAATTGACTTGGACTACCCCCTCTTAGCCGAGTCTACTACTCGACTAAGGGAGTGGGGGACTCGTGATGGAGTAATGAGACTAGGCCCATAACCTAATCAGCCCAAGCCCCGAACTTGGACCCGTGGATCCAAGTCCACAACCGGAAGAGTAACGGTCAAGCAATTAATGCGCTATTAATTATGTATTTAATTCCGTATTAATGTTGTAATTAATTAGTCATTATTATCGGTAGCAGTTACGATTTGTATACGCCTATAAAAGGCGGGTTGTAATTCAGATTAGAGGAAGCAATTTTGAAATGCTATTTCTGACTACCAAATCCCCTTTGCAATTTTCCTTATTCATATTACTTTCTTGATTCCCTCTTGAGTGTCGTACGTAACTTTCCTAAAAGCCTACGAGCGTCCTATTTTGGACCAACACTAAGAACTTTCAGTAAAGCTAAGGTTAGGCAAACACATACGGAACGTGCAACATTTTTAATAACATTGATACAATGACCGACCTTAAATTGTTATTTTCTACCGGTGACGATGTGCCTCACACATGGAGTAGCTATCCCGATTGGAGCGCAGATGTTGATCATGGCTACAAACACATCATTCCACATACTCCGTATAAAGTATGTATTGACATCAAGCCATACTAATGATGTTTTTACTTGGATTGTTTTCAGTCCCATACCAGATCAGACCAAATTTAAACAGATCAGACCAGACTTGACTTCCGTAGTTATAAAATACACAGAGACCAGACGTTTCTCAGATTAGACCAAACTTAAACAGACCAGACAAGACCAACAAATTACAGTCCAAGTAAAAACACCATAATATTACACTACCATATACACGATACTTCTATTCACACATGAATAGAACATATCAAGTGATTTCTTAAGTGGGGATAATAATATTTTCCAAAATATCCTTGCGAGTTGCGACTATTATAAATTTCAAGAGTTCACATTTCTGAGAATGATTGCACTTTCCAAAAGTATTATGCAAACGATATGACAATCTTATCACGTATCTGCGGTATCTGAATATTGATGATCAATCAAACTCTAGCATATTTAGTGATCAATAACATAAATTCAAGGTAAAAAAAAAGTATGAATGATGTATGTACAATCAGAATAATTAATCATAAAAGTGTAATGTCGATATACATCATAAATCATAATCATGTACTTGGTATACTATAAAAGCTAATTATGGTTAAGTGCTTCTTTGAATTCCTCATGGAAACTTTACGCATATTAAAGGATGATTAGGTACGTAAAACCTTTTAGTTTGACTGACAATATATTTGGAGGTTGATGAATATAATGTGTTGGGAGGGAGTTTGCGAGAGCATACACAAGCTTGGGAATAGGCTCAAATCGCAATAATCTCGGATTGGCAAGTGTAGTCAAATGTAGAGTTGTAGGGTCTCAGACTTTCAATATAAGTCTGAGTATAGAGCTTATGTTGTAAATGGTAGTACTCCTGCTAAGATCATTTATGTCTAATGAGTAATGACATGGATTAAGCTTTGTTTCTAAATACAAATAGAAATTATGACATTTATAAGACTAAACTGAATATGATACAGACAAATATGACCTCAAATACAAAGTGATTTATTTTATTGACTATTTATATTCAATCTTACATATTAGTGATCATGAATGATAATTTTAATAACATTTTTATCCATAAAATTTTTTGTGAGGAAGCAAAGAAGCTTATCCGGGTGCTATTCTGTAACAGATAGGACCAAATCCAACCCCACGTCTCTAAAGCCGTTTCACATATCAGACGATTTTTAAGGAGTGTTTGCTAAAGATGTTTTCACTTTTTGACTTAAAAAAAGCTGAAATGAGTGTTTTCAAATGACAGCTTTTGCTTAAATTAATCACTTAAAAGCTAAAAGTTGGAAGCGAGTTGAGAGGTGCTTTAAACTGTTTTTCACTTTTTTTTTATTACACAAAAAACACTTATTCTATCGAACATTATCAACTTTTACTTTTTTCATAATCACTCTTTTCTCAAACACTACCAACTTTTACTACAGAATATTAATCACTTTTCCCAAAATCACTTTTTAGAAGAAGAAGCATTGACAAACACTCTTAGTAAGGGGTGGGCGCGATCCGGGTCGGTCCGGGTAATCGAAGAAATTTAAAACACTGTCGGCTCCATTTAACGGGTAGGTTCGGTCCGATTATACCAAATCTCAAAATAGGAACCGGACCTTACCTACCTCATTTCAAACGGGCCGGTTCGGTTCGAGTTCTCGATTCTTTATTTTTTGTAAAAAAAAAAACGGCTATGCTAGAAAAGTTTCTAGTAAGTTATAAAATTCTAAAACTAATTAAGTATTAATGTAACCACAATATAATAAAAATTCAAAATAAAAATATAAAACAACACTTTAAATTAGTTAACAAAATATCTAACAACAAATCTACAAATTGAACAACACACAACCACGTAAATTAAAATTTTAATTATTATTCATAAACTAAAAATATAGCACTATAAAGTCACAAGAAATTAAGCTAGTTACTATACATATTTATCTATGAAAACAATTTAAATCATATTAAATATTCAAGTATAGGTAAATGTAAGATAGTAAAACAAATATGTCACACTTCATTAAGTGAGAGTATCTTTTTACAATAAAATATTTAAAAAAAGTTTGATGCCTTTGTGATAGAGAATTGAGGACAATAATTTAGGAGCTTAGATGGACTAAGAAACTCTTTTTAACAGACCAACATATTTCTATAATTGAAGGTCTTTGTCTAGACACAAGAATATGAAGATTTTCCATGTGTTGTTAGTATATTATATTAATATAATAGAATTTATTAAAAATAATACTTTGCAACGGTTCAGTCCGAGTACCCGTTGTTTCAAATTTTACGACCAGATCGGTTCCTATGTTTTAAGGATCCACCCCACCCCGAACTGTGTAGGTTTTCTAAAATTAGAACCTGACCCTAACTCGCCTCGAACGTGTATTACCCGACCTGATCCGCGGTTTCTATATTCATTTGCCCACCCCTACTCTTAGGGGCTGTCCCCGATTATGACTTCAATGGATTTTAAAAGATCGTGGATTTTGAAATCTGGGGGGAGTTTACAAGATTGTGGTGGATTGTTTTTGTATATGAAATCCATCGAAATGCATTGAAATTCGTGCAAATAAGTAACAACGAAAATTCGCGGAATGTGTGAGGACACCCTTATTTTCATGGATTTTATAGAAAATCCAAATAAAGAACAGCTGAATTCTGTATTAAAATCCTCCAAATCCGAATTGGGGAGTCACTGAGTGTTGTCTCCCATTTACCTCTGATGGAGTATATTCCCGCATACCTCAGGAGTACCACGACCGTCGGTAGAGAACCTTGCGGGTTCATCAGAGGCAAGAAAATACTAAGTCCACATCTGCATCCGACCCGGACTCCGACCCGGACTCCTACCGCCTAGGACGGAAAACATCAAACTCAGGATCCAAGTAAACTCACCGGATAACAGTCAACCGACCCAGGCCCCGATCCCCGAGTCACAGTTCACTCTCCCTTTCCTCTCTTATTCTAGGTGTATTCCGGCCGCCCTGGTCCCACGATCCATCAACCTCAATCTGTTCACCCCAACTCCAGGTTTTGCACCAGTTTCACAGTTTCTTCCATTTCTCCTAAACAAACTTGCAAAAGAAGATTAGTTTCTTCAAGCTGCAGAATTTCACGAATGGTTCGTGAGGATTCGAGTCTGATCAATAAAAAACAACAAGCCCAATTCCGCCTCTGCAATGTTGCTGGGTAATTCTCTGTTGTCTATGTGAGTTTTAAAACCATATGTGCGGTAATTGTGTTTATGTATTGCGATTCTTTTTTTTTTGGCAAAATGAATTGCAATTCTTACTATCCTTGTAATTTCTCTGATACCATTGAATATGAAGAGATTCATGAAAGCCTAGAGTTGTGATTATTTGTCCATGTTTGTATTTATACATGTGAAGATTATAAGAGATTGGCAAAAGTAAACCTAATTTGTAGGAATCAGTACAACTGATAAAGAATTATAATCCGATAATAAACAAGAAAACTACATTCATTCCGAATTGGGGCACCATCCATTCCGCAGTAGAGTAAATTCCTTGACCTTTTTGTGTGGCAGCTACAAGACCGATTTAATTGAAATCCATGCCCAAAGGCCTGAATTGCATATTTTGTTCATTCCGGGAAATCCAGGTAGTAATTAAGACTGAACGAGAATTTGAAGTATCTTTTCTTTAGGATGGAGATATATGTTAATGGTGGTGATAACAGGAGTTGTTTCATTATATGTTGATTTTCTTGAATCACTATTTGAGCTACTGGGAGGAACTGCATCCGTGACAGGTATGGAACAGTGACATATTGACTAAGCACACTCGGTTTTTCGATTTAACTGCTACTCCCTCCGTTCCTAAATAAACTTCCAACTTTCCTTTTTCGTCCGTTCCAATTAAAACTTCCACTTTCCTTTTTAGTAAAGAATTTGTGGTTCACAACATTTCTTACACATTTCTCTCTCCTCTGCACAACTCTCCACCACACAATACCCACTATCTTAAACTCTGTGCCAAACCTATTTGGAAGTTTTAATAGGAACGGAGGTAGTATTTTGGAACATAGTAGAATATCCTTTATGGCTCTGCAGTGATTCTTAAATTCTCCATTTTCCAGCTATCTCTCACATATCTCACAGCAAAAAGGTAAATTCTTCGGCCAATATGAACCTGTTTAATGCACTTTGTTAGACTTTTGGGATCTGTTTGGAACCTCTAATGTACCAGGGAAAGAAAATAGAGAGTAAAATGGGAAGATAATAAAGTTTGGTGAAAAAGGATAAACACATACTCGGTAAATATATTTTAGGTATTCATTTTATTAATTTTCTATCTTTATTATCTTTTTTTGCTCTGATTCATTTGTCAATTCATGTTAGCCGACCTCAAACTCTCTTGGGATTAAGGCTTGGATATTGTGGTATTCATTTTATTAATCTGTACTGTATTTTTAATCATTAAGAAATGTGGAGTATAAACGCATGAAATGTTTTGTGGAAGAATTAGTCAAATAGTATCTTAATTTTCCTTTATATATTCCAAGGCCAAGAAAAACATAAGAAAATAAATTTCTTAGCTATGTTTTTTTTCACTAGCATTTTCCATTTTTCCATTATCCAAAAAATACCCTTGATGTATCTTAAATTTTCAGGCAATGCTCTTAAGAGAACTTAGGCCAGTATAATGTAAAAACTGAACAACTTAGTTTGTTGTCAAAGTATCATGCTTTTTGAATCATTTTTCATATTAAACTTAGCATTCAGATGTTTTGGAAATAAACATTTCACCAACTATTGAAGTTCACATTAGAGGTGTAGTTTGGTAGACCGTAATACCATGTCATGTAATGCAATCCAATAAACTTTTGTGTGTTTTTAAATTCAATCTACATGTAGAACGTAACTTTTTTTTTGTATTTCACTATGTCTTCCTAAACAACACCCATGTGTTAGCTCTGTGTAATTCCTGTATTTGATGCAAAATATTCTGTCATTGGATTGCTACAACACCTCTTATTTGAAATATTATGGCTAAACTAGCCACCCAATATTTTAACATTTTAGAATTGGGAGCTTGGGAGGCTGTTTTCCCTGCAAGCACAAATTGATCACAAGGTAATTACTAATTTTATCATTTATCATCATTATTGATTATTGTTGTTATTATTGCTATTTTTATCAGTCAACTAAAATGATAGAACACTGGTAATTCCGACTCAGAACACAGTAGATTCAATACGAAATTAACAAGAAACAAGATCAAGAAGAGTTATTGATGTGGAAGAAAGTACAGATGGTATGCAATGCATAGGCGAGATGCCCAGTCTCCAAAGTCTAAGTCCAACAGAATAACAGCCTGCCTCTTAATCCTCCCCTCCCCTTTATTTATTGCTAGTGTGAATGTGTTTTGACATGAACGCTTCGTGCTCACCTTTTGATTCCTTGCATTTTTAGGTAGTCAGCATTTCAGTTTTAACATATACTCATTATGATATTCATTTTCTATCCAGATGAACTTCATTGAGCAGGAATTTAATAATGTTGAAGTTCCTATAATCCTGGTAGGATTTATGACTTATTTTGACCTTATAATCTAACTTAAGTGATGATGTGGTGTTCCCTGAGCGCCTAAGCCTCTCTCATGTTGACCCTAATGGGAGTACTTATATAATGATATATATATATATATATATATATATATAATTAGGTTCAAATAAGAACATGATCTAAGGAGAGAAATGAGAATGAATTTGGACCGTTAGATTTGCTTTATGTGAAATTCAATGTGCATTAGATGAAACTGTAATGTGCATTACATGAAGTTGAAATGTGCAGCACAAAGAGTATGTTATAGTGACATTATGTGAAGCTGAATTGTGCATTAAGTGAAATTAAAATGTGCACTAGGTGAAACTAAAATGTGCAGAATAAAAGGTACGATGTGATGCCATTTTTGTACCTTTTATTCTGCACATTTCTGTTTCACCTAATGCACATTTGAGTTCAACTTTTTATTCTGCACATTTCAATTTCATCTAATGCACATTTCAGTTTCACCTATTGCACAATTCAGTTCCACGAAATACAATCCAACGGTCCAGATTCATTCTCATTTCTCTCCTAGGAGTCCTTTCTTACCGGAACCGCTCCCTATATATGTGTGTGTGTCTGCGTCTATGTATTTGAGATCAACTGATGTTTCACTTTCTTCAAAGGTTGGCCACTCCATTGGTTCGTACATATCTCTGGAAATCTTTAAAAGATTACAGAAAGAGGTAAAGAAATGAAGAACATAGAAGTGTTGTAAAATCTTATCATTGTGGTTTTCACAATTTAATATATTTAAATTAGGTGGGGTTCTGCATTGGACTATATCCATTCTTGACTGTGAACACCAAATCTTGGACACAATCTTTTATTAAGAAGATTGCAGCGTAAATCTCCTTCCTCCCACTTCTCTTTCTATTCCTCATTCAAATGTTTTTAAAAACGAATAACGGGTCATTGAAATGTTATGTAACTTATGTGATCACCTATAATATTATTTCTCTAATTTTTATAGGATCTCAAGATATACACTAAGAATTTTATACTCTTCATCGCTAAACCCGGCTACCTCATAAAATATACCCTCAGGAAAAGTAACTCTAACCTTACTTTAGGGCTGATCAGCTGGAAAAGGGGTCACCAAACGGGCCCTAACTAGTACTAGTGGATTTAGTTTATTGGGTGTTCTGTCTAAGTGAAGCATTAATGTTACAATGTACGTGCAGAACGAGGAGTATCTCTGCAATGCTTAGTTCTATTGTGGCATGTTTGGGAATGCTGCCAGCCTGGATGTCTACATATTTTGTGAAGAAATTTGTTGGGAAGTTATGGTCTCCTACTGCAGTTGATGCCTTTTGTACACATTTTCTCCAGGTCAGCGATTGCACTTCCTAAAATGGTTACTGTCTAAATACTATATCCAATACTAATAACAGTTTGGAAATGTGATTATTTTTCCAGTTCCACACGATGCAGAACGTACTTTTCATGGCAATGACAGAGTTTGATAAGGTAAGATGGTGATCCCACCCATCAAAGTAACTCCCGCCTTTCTTTTCTATTCACCGATTTGTTGAGTGTTTATATCAACGAGATTAGCTTTCTGAGGCGCTCGATTGGGCCTTCTTGAGGGACAACAGAAGCCAAATAGCCTTTTTATTTGGGGTTGATGATCACTGGGGCCCTATGCATGTACTTGAAGAGGTAAGTTCATCCATTGATTCATTCTGAAAATCAACATTAACAGTAGGGGAAATAGTGCTGCTCTCTCTCCAGTTAAGATGGGCTGAATTTCTGAATATCTATTTATTTATTTCATAAAGATTTGTGAGAAGGTTCCAGGAGCAGTGGTAACTGTGGAAGAGGAGGGCCATTCTCATGCTTTCTCATGCACAGAGACTGGCTCCTTATGGGCAGCTAAATATGTCGCCAGCATGGTTATGAGATACACCACCACCTCGAAGAAGTCATTAAATCTGTAAGGGTGAGCGAGCTGAAATATATAAGAGGGGCAATTCTCCCTCTCTCACTTACCTTTCCACCACCCCTGTTTTGTTTATCACCCATACTGATAAAATACGGCGTTGTACAAACTTATATGATGGTGGTGCTTTCGCAATCTGTTCATACTTGAGTAATAGTAATAATGAAAACCTAGCGCTGTAGATACTTTTAATGCTTAAGCGATTTTCTAGCCCAAAAAATATCCACCTTAAGATATTGTTTGTAACATTTAGTATATTATTGGTTAACGGGGACATAAAACCTTATCCCAGATTAAAAGAAATATAAGGTACGTTCTTGACATCTAAAAGTATAACGCCCTGAATATGCTGATGTAAAATGTTAAGCTTATGGAAGCAGAGTAGCAGACCATGGAAGTAGATGAATACAAATTGGCCAGCAAATTAGCAATTTGCAAACCGCCACAGTGATATTATATTGTTTCAGTGTCTTGGATGGCTCTGGAGATCGCGCATAGAGCTAGGGAGGTCCTTCATTTGCTAAACAAAGAGTAAACTGAATGCGAATCAATTTCTAGGATAAAATATGGGCATCCTTCTGAAATTGCCCAGTTTAACCCAAAAGAAATACTACACAAAGTTGGAGTTTTTGAATGAAGAAGGGCGTTGGCTTTAGTAGGAAAGGAGATGGCCAAAATGAATTGACTTCTACAATTACACATGATTGCTCCACCTGATGAATCTGAAATGTGAACATTGAGTTTAAAGCTCGAAATTGGCTTAAGCCGGAACTCCAACTTCGGTTTTGAAGTCCATTTGGGGAATTAAGGATAAAGCCTTCTTGGAATAACTTCGGATTGAATTTAGTATATTTAGTGTTTTACAAGCTTAAGGACCATAGCCACATGTGCTTCTTGATATGGAAACTTAAGATGGCTGCAGTAGGAAGACTGGAAGACTACACTCGCCCCAAATAATCAAAGCATAGGCTTTCCTTAACAAAATCTATTTGTACCCACCCTTATACCCACATTTATACCCACCATGTTTGTGCAAAGTTTTTTTTGTCTGTGGGTTCCGCACACAAACAATATTTTGTTTGTGCAAAATTGACACAGACAAAATAACACATATTTTGTCTGTGAACCGTATTCACAAACAAAGTAAGACCCGCTAAATGATGCAATGGAAGAGTATTCTAAACACGATTACTTAGGACCAATATGCCACTTTGAGAAAGAGTACGCGTTTAGCCTCCCAAAATCGGAGTTTTTGCTTAAATCATGAAACCACTTCCACACAAAGTTTAGCCCCAGTGATTCCTTCATGGATATGAACCCTTATGTACGTAAAGGGAAGGTTGGAACATTTCATTTGCAAAATATTTTTCATCATCTTTGTCCTAATCACAAAGAATTTAGAGTTAGTAACAAAAGTACTCTACTACAAGTCATGTTGGTATGGTTGAAGAAAATTTATGAATTTGACAAGGGAGCAAGATGAGCCGTTGAGGAAGACCAAAAGAAAAGGTAAACTTTGAATGCAATTTCCAGTGGAATCCTAAAGGACCTCATGCCCCTAAGTTTATTGGAAATGTTAATATTTGGGATTGTGTTCGGGCTTTAAAGTGGCCCTATAGAGCTATCACATAAACAAAAATCATCGTCTTATATCTGCCTAATTTACCGATTGAAGAATATAGGGAGAGTCAAACTTCCTTTACATTGCATTTCACAAGGTCTTCTCCTCCTAGAGAACTGTCATCTGTAGTCATGTGTGCCTCATTATCATCTTATGCAGTATTTCACCCAGGACACTCTATGTCTATTCCCTGGATGATCGAAATGGATTCAGATGCTGACATCGAAGAGAATTATCCTCTAGCTCATATAAAGATAAGTTTTCAGGCTTACAACTCCCCAGAGAGCACTTACTGTCACAAGAGAGAAGCAGAGATCATCTCTTTAGCTCCCATTTATGAGCAGACGTCTGGATACTCTACTTATAGTGGGATTGGGGGAAAACAAATCACGAGTTCCATTAAGCATGGAGTCGCTACAAAAAAAGATGAACAAATCTTAAATATTATGACGGAGATTGGAATTGGAATTGATGGACTGAAAATTCTTGGATTACTAGATAAAGCAATAAAAGAAGTGAAGAAAGTGATCTCGAAGAAATCTTCCATGGATCCTAAATTGGAAATAATCCAGATCATAAACAGGCTTGTTTCAGACAAGCAAAAGAATCTGCTTAAGGGAATATCTTATAAATAACTAGTTTAGATTAATGGGAGATCTTAAGAGACTTAATTACTAAGTATAAGAAGAAGAAAAAAAGGTACGTTCACGTGAACACACGCGAATGTATGTATATGTGTGTATGTATGCATGCATTGTAACACCTCACCTGCGGGGCACAAAATATATGCTCCTAGATACTTTCTAGATATCTAGTATTGTCCTCACAATAGAACAAAAGTATTTATCACACTTAACTTGATATGTAAGGCGCACGCTAAAGTACTTCTAGAACTCTTCAAACCTCTAGTACTGCCTTCAGATACCAACACAAGCGTTTATCGCGCACTTTGTCCTCACTCGTGCGCGCCATGTGAAACTTCCCATGTTGTCACCAATACCAGAACTACTCACATACAAACACGCTTAACTTGGAAATCTTGAGAGATGAACTCCTTAAAAGGAGATGCACCTTGTTTGTATGAGTAGTAATATTAATTCTTTTATGCTAACCTCAAGTATGTACGTATGTACGTAGGTACGTATGTACCTATGTATGTATGTGCGTACGTACGTATGTGCGTATGTGCCTATGTAGGTGTGTGTGTGCCTATGTAGGTGTGTGTGTTTGTGTGTGTGTGTGTGTGTGCCTATGTAGGTGTGTGTGTGTGCCTGTGTGTGTGTGTAGGTGTGTGTGTGTGTGTGTGCCTATGTAGGTGTGTGTGTGTGCCTATGTAGGTGTGTGTGTGTGCCTATGTGTGTGCCTATGTGTGTGTGTGTCTATGTGTGTGCCTGTGTGTGTGTGTGTCTGTCTGTGTGTCTGTGTCTGTGTGTGGCTGTGTGTGTGTGTCTGTGTCTGTGTCTGTGTGTGTGTGTATGTATGTATGTATGTATGCATGGATGTATGTACGTACGTACGTATGGATGGATGGGTGTGTGTGTGTGTGTGTGTGTGTGTGCGTGCGTGTTTTTTTACCAGGGAACACATGTCGGATTTTATTAAAGAAAATAAAAGATGCATGAGAAGAGATGGGCTAGACCAAAACCTTTTCGGAAAGAGCATTCCCTTTCCGAATACATGAAATGAAAGTAAAATGAGACATGAAATAAAAGAAAAATTGGGGGGACCAAACCTAACCCAATTTTAAATACATCTAAAAAAGGCAAACCAATAGAGTCCGCAAAAATAGATTTTTTAACATTTAATGGCAAATTACGGATATTGTCAAAATAAATTTCATGTGAATGGGCTATATCTATATGGGCCAAGTAATGAGCAGCCTAATTACCATCTCGTAAGGTATGACCGAATGAGACCTGCGCATTTCTGGAATTTTCATGCATCTCTCCAGCTAAGTCTTTCCATCTCCCAGACTAGCTCACATCATTAAGTAAATAAATCGCATTTGAAGAGTCGGATTCTATCTGAAACCATTGTTCTAAAACTCGCTAGGCGCTAGTCGGGCGGTTGAGGGGCGCCTAGCGACTAGGCGGCCGATTAGGCCGATTTTTTTGGCCGACTAGGCCGATTTTTTGGCCGACTAGGCCGATTAGTGTCCCTCAGTTAGGGCCGCCTAGGCCGATTAATCGGTCCGACTAGGCCGATTTTCAGAACAGTGTCTGAAACTCATCATAACCGTAGTGGATAGCTTTGAGCGTAGCAAATCGCAGCGCTAGGAGCTCAGCCTCAAGGACGGATTCCGCCGAGATTTGGAAGGATAAAGCAAAAACCAGCTCGCCTCCTTTATTCCTTAGGATCGTTCCACCACTAGCTTGTCCAGGAACAAAAGAAGCATCCACATTCAACTTGAGATTTCTGGTAGATCGAATCCATCTAACCATCTTGAATCTAGGAGTAGGATTCCTAAAATCTAGATGAATAAGATTTTCAGACCGAAGCAACTCTAGATCAACCGATTTCTTTTGTTTGTGTAAATTGTGGGACCAATTTTGAGTAAATCTTTTTATTTGAAAAATGATGAAATTGAAATCCGGAGCTGAAACCATATCTCCCCAGACAAGGTTAGAGTAAATTTTCCATATTTTCCATGTAATGAATCTAGGCAGGTTCTGTCTGTAAATGTGCATCAACGTTTTGTCTCCTGCTTTCATCCACCAAAGGAAAAAATATGCCTAATAGTGGTTGGATAGGGAGTCTTGTTAATCCCAAAAATTCCAATAAAGTATTCTCAGATAGGTCTAACAACCGGGCAATGGCAGAAAATATGGTTAATGAAATCTGATTCAGTTTTGCAAAGAGGGCAACGATTAGGGTAAACTACCAGATTAAATCTAAGAAGGTTATCTGGAATAGGTAACATTCTATGTAGAAGTTTCCATTGGAAAGCTCTTATCTGCGTTGTCTGATTCTTGTGCCAAATGTTTCTGCAGGAGAAAGTTGAGGATCCTTGTTTTCTGATTTCATCAAAGGCTAATCTTAGTGAAAATTTACCCTCCTTACCAGGAATCCATATAGGCAAACCAGACCCCCAGAATCTGTAAGACACTCCCCCTACTCTTTATACTACATATCCTTCTCCAAATGTTTGAATTTGTAACTCTACGATTCATTGTTATCTCCCCTTGGATATCTATCATGACAAAAATTGGCCCAAAGTGAATCTTTGAGTTACCATTTCCTCCATATCTTGAGAGAAAAAGCCATTTACATATCTGAAAGTGATCTAATACCCACCCCTCCCTCCTCTGTAGGTAAGCACATACGTTGCAAATTCATCCAATTGTAATTATTAGAGCCCCCCAAAAAATTGGACATCAATTTTTCCAAAATAGTAATAACTGCTTTTGGTAATGTGTCCACCGTTAGTGTGTGTAAAGGAATTGAGCTAAGAACAGGTCTGATTAGGATCTGATGGTCCCGGATAGGGTAAAAGTCTAGAGAGGGGGGGGGGGGGTGAATAGACTTTTAAATCTTTTTCGACTTTACAAAGTTTTCCCTCTAGATGAGTTGATCTATAATCTTTTGAGAGATTTATAGATGCACAACAGAAGTCTTTACCCTTTATGTAATGTGTAACAACTTTCTATGATGGATGAAGTCTTTGCTTAATG